TGTGTGTTGTGATGTTCATGTTTTGTGTGTGTTTTGATTTTCTTGAAAATGTTTTTGAGTTGTTTCTTTAATTTGGGTGTTATGTTGTTTTTAGTGTATTGTGTCAGCCTGCCTAATTGCTGTCTAATGTCATTTATTTGTGTTTCTATTCTTCTCTGCCAGGCAGGCTTGTGATAGAATTATGTTTTGTGTGTATCTGGCTGCGATTGTATTTTCAGACCATGGTGTGTTACTACTGTGACTGCCCCAGAATAAACTAATGTATGAATGTCTGAGAGTGTAGAAATTGAATGAATGTAGTTTGGTGGTAGTAAGTGAGTGTTTACATAATTTAATGTTTTTCCTACTTCATTTGATGTGTTGATTTTTGGTATTTGTGGTCTTTGTGTGGGATCTGTACCTGTATGTTTAGTGAGTATTTCTTGAAATATAAATGCGAGCATATTAACTAAATTTATGTCTATGTTATCAGTTATTATTATTGGGCTGCAATTTTCAAATTTCAGACCTTTGTATTCCCACTGTTGTCCATCATTAATCTTGAGGATGAAGTAAGATGACCGGCATGATTTGACTGTTATTGGGAGAAGTACAATGTACAGGGGCAAGACACCATTAAAAATCCAGACCAGATATAGAAAGCTTAGGAGCCAGAGATCCCAATTAACTGTATATGAACTTCTGGTCTGGATCTTTTTTAAATTAAAAGACAATTAAAAATTGCTGCCCAGCATTGTGACAATGTCACAATAAATAATTACTTATTATATTTACATTATGAACAGAAATCAATACAAAACTTTGATAATTTGATGATAATATATCAGAATAAGTTTGAATGTACTTACTGTTTCAACTAGATTTAAAGCAAGTGTTTTAGCAGCTTGTAATCCTTCTGTTTTAGGATGCCTAAATTAAAAAAAATATTTGAGTTAAAACAGAAGATAGTTATAAAATAACAACAGAAACATTTATTATAAATTTAAATAACAGTAATAAATATAGCTATTTTTTCTTCATACATTCAATATAATACATGTAAAATATGAAAAATCATGATTAAAATGTAGATAAATTGACAGTAATTACTTTTGAAACAAAGCAAAAATTTGATAAAATACTGAAATTATCTCTGAAAAATTAAAATGTTTATTAATATACATAGATATTTTAAAATATTTATTTCATTAAAATGTTTTTTTAAAAATTCCTATTTCTATTTTCAGCATAACTTAATCCGTTACGCGTTGAAAGAGTGGAGGGTTTATTTTAAATGATTTGATTGGAGGGATTTTTAATAAAAGGTCACCCCTAAAAGCTAGCTAGCTTAGATCTATTTAGTTCAACTTAAGTCAGTTTAGCATGGCTCACAGCTCTTCATTGAGCTTTGTCCTTGACCTTTCACGAGGCAAGTGTAGACTTCATGTATTCCAGTCGTATAATTTCGTGTACTCTCCTCAGTCATCAGTACATCTTTCACTTTTAAAGATCAAATATCATTGTAGGTGATATATTTTTGTAAACCCTTTCTCAGAAAGGAAGAGAATTAGTTAATGGGTTGTTTGTTCAAGCTCTCTTTTAAAGAAGAATTTGTTATAATTAGACGTGTGTTATCGTTCTCTTATATCATTTCGATTTTATCTTTTATTGTTTATTTTACTAAATAAATGTATTTTAATCATTTGAAATGTTCAATTTTCCTATGCCTAACTCCATTGTCTTACCCACAATTGAAATAATCACTCCTATAAATTCCGGAAGTTAGATAAAAATTTTCATTTGCATCTTAGTCTGTGAAATTGACTAAGTGATGTCAGGAGATCTTGACAATTTTCCATGAGAAATTTTGAATATTAGTGTATTCTCAATTTCCGACAACTAAGCAGCTATCACAAATGTGTGACGGGTCAACCGGAGCCCCGGAAATTCATAAATTTGATCAATTTTAATTGTGATTTTGAAATTATACAATCAAATTCTTACACAAATAATTATTATTTCTTACGTTAAATGAATGTGAAGAGGTTCGAACGCCTCCCTTCCTGACGTCGGTTCGATATATCCTGACCCTTTTCCACGCAATGTTACATTGGCTCCACTTTCAGTCCTAATATGTTGAAGATAAATTCCCTATTTTAGATAAAAAATATTAGTACTTTTAATTTTAAAATACGTCCCTCGCATTTCAGGTTTATTTTTAAGATACAATCAGAATTCACGTATATCCTGACAGTTAATTGATTGTCAGAGTCTACTTTTCCGATGATTCAAATACATTAAAATCAAAACATTGACCTAGCAATTAATATCAATACTTGGATGAAGTCTTTTCCTTGTATAAATAAGTAAATTCATATCAGTTTTAAAATTAAAATTAATATGAATTTATTTAATTTGATATTTTAATATATCGTTTCATTACATTACATAAACATAAGAAAAAATAAAAATTTGTAATTCATAATATGACTAATTTTACAAATCATTTCCTTGTCTTTTATGTTATACAGGTTCTAAAAGTCCGATCTCGTTTAATTGGTGTGTAAAAACCAATATCTTGGAATTTTATGCAGATTAATCCATCACTTTAAACATAACAATGCCCTAGGACAAGGAAAAAAACTTGGCTGGAGCAGTAAAAACACCATTTTGCGGTAGTAAGCTAGTGTCTTATTGCTTCAGACAAGATATCTAGGTTTAAATCCGAGTCGAAACTTCAAAAATTTTCATGGGTGAACGAATTCAGATATAATGGACCTTATCCTGAAACCTGGCCAAACCCACGATCAGCATAAACAAAACTTAATGCCCACAGATTAGAGAATTATTAAAAAAACACTCTCACGTTGCACTAATGCTTAATCGAACATTGATATAAACAATGTTCAATAATTTTATCTAATTAAAATTCATTAAGAAAATTTACGGTTATTATATTTTGTTAATATACAGTTATTATGCTGAATGTATTTTTATCATCATCAAGATAAATAATGACAATATACAGGGTTCCTATTCCAACTTTTGTTTTAATTTCCCTGACTTCCCGAACCAACTTTGTACAAATTCCGACCCTCACGTCCCTTATGTATGGCACATTGACAAAGTAAAACAGCATTTGACTCACTAACCGCATATGTTTTGTTTCTCTAATATTTTAATTAGTTTTTTTTTCTAATTAACAGTTATATATTTTTTTATAATTGTCGAATTATTAAAANCATATATATATATATATATATATATAGACTGTTTATTACAAAAGGTTTGGTTTATTGTAAATGATAAAAAAAATTTTTTTAAACAAAAGTTGTTTCATATGAGAAGCTCAATCCAATGACACCCAACTCAATTTATTCCAATATGAAAATCAGAATCAGGCTTGGGTGGTCCTATTTCTGCTGGGTTCTAAATTAATGCCAATTTCACCAATTTATTTTTCACATGGGTTCTAACTAAAAAATTTTTTCCCAATCTTCTACAAAAAATAGTTTTCAAGAAAACACACGTGATTCAGACCACCTGAACCATATATATAAAGAGAATAGCTAAAGCTAAACTCTCTTAATTGTTTATGGTATTACTTTGAATACCATTTATGCCAGCATAAAGTCAACTTTATAATTTTCAGCTTGTTTAGACCTATAATCATATAAATCACCTCTAAACTTATGGCAAGAATATCAAAAGACCAGACCAATTTCTTTAAGACTTTTCAATGTATGATATACAGCATGTCCCATAAATCTAGAACCAGAGAAGTAAAGCATAATGCTGAGTAAGGAGAAACAAATTCAAGTTATTTTATTGTTGGGGATTGGTAGTCAATGAGAAGTCACCAAAGAGTTTAACAGGCTGCATCCAGACTTCCCACCAATCACATACAGCCGGTTAAACTCTTTAGCAACTTCTTCACCGACTGTGGGTCCCCATAATCAAAAGAAATTGAACCGGTTATGGCCCATACAAAAATAGAAGTCAGCAAAAGAATCTACATATGGCATCAAGTAACTAATAAAAATATTCAGAAAGTTACATTGATAATTATTATACTGTACTTTACATTTATCAATTAACACATCTGAGCTACACAAAATCAACAACTTCAATAAAATATTAACAACATGGCAGAGCCATTATGTATGATGTATGACGATATAATGATATAACATGGTAGTATTTCTTTTTATGTGCTCTTCATTTGCATCAGTAGTATACAGTACATCAATTGTTGGAAACAACTTGTGATACAGTGTTTATTTCTACAATTTAAGTAAGTTCATCAAATACAAGTATTATTAAGAAATATATGTGGTAGCCTGCTGTAATTACATAAGTGATGCACAGCAATTGTTAGTAACTCTGTTTTACTTGTTTACCATTCTGTGGTAAAGATCTACATTTTATACCCATCATATAAGCTAATCCCTAATGTTGGAATGATTTTTCAAGCTTAGAAAGTCAACATATATGCCGGCATATATGATAATTCTGGATTAGTTTTTAAATATGTAAATTATTTATTTAAAGTAAATATTAAGAATATTAATTTAAATAAGTTAAGTGTTTCATTTTTAATTAATAATATTTGTAATCAAATTCATACAACTTACTTTGATAACCAATTGCAGGTTGTGTTAAAGACTGAGCAGCTACTTGCTGTTGCTGCTGCTGTTGTTGCCACTGAACAAACTCTGTATAAATCTATAAATAAAATAATTCCTTTAATTATTATAATGATTTATATATATTTATATTAACTGTTAAATAATATATCAACGATTAAACACACATGGACTGTATGTAGAATATGACATATACTGTGTCAATTTTCTATATAAGCTAGATAAACTGTGGATTAGGACATTGTCTTAAATGATAGCTGTTAAAAAAAAAAAAACTTGGCATTTTGACTCAGGGACTTCACTATACATAAACATGGCCCTGGATGCATATGGGCTACATAGGTAAGGATAACTTTGCAATTAAAATGAATCCACCTTGTTAAAGTGATATTTCCAGAAGATGAAAATCGATTACATGCTCCTAATATTGAATCTATCAGCTTTTCTCAAGAAACGACAAAGAAATAGTTAGACGAGAAGTCTAACTATTTCATAAGAAACCAGATCAAAAAGATGTATAACTAAAAGAAACATAATTAGAATTTTTAGCCAAACTTTTTAGAACACTTTTGAAGGGAAAAGCAAAAGTGTTCTAAAAAGCTTGGCTAAAAACTCTCCATTAAAAACCTGATGCTGGCCCACGAAAAAGACCAAAAACGTTTGCTTCTCATTTATACTGAATTGCTGGAAATGTGCAAAAGGTCAGTTCAATATCCCTTTATTTAAAAAAAAAATGTGATTTCCATTCTGAAGGCGTAAAACCTAAAGGTGATGAACAGTGTATTCAATGGCCAACCATAATTGCTTTCTGATGACGTTTTTCACATGCAATGTGATATTGTTCTTTCAAGGCTGCCGAATTTGCAACATGTCCTCAATAAACCACACTCTTTAAGTGTTTCCACGAATGAAACGTGTTTTTTTTTGTTGTTGTTGTTGTTTGCAGTTTCAAGTTTTGGTGCTAATTATTTTTATAGAAATGTCACTATACAAAATATGATTGCATTTTGACTGCTGATTAGGACTCTCTACATGAGAATAGAATGCTTTAATTACAATCGCCTGTACACTGTTATATAAAAACTATTTAAGTTTAACCTATGTTGACAGCTTATTTGTAAACACAAAAGACTCCACTATTATGATCGAATTGCCTTCTGGAAATCATCATTAAATAACCTGTCTTATTTCTTATAAGTTTATCAGACCATCTCTATATATAGGATCAACAAAAAATATACTACTTAAATATGGAATTTTATGTTAGAAAATTTATACATCCTAAAAAAGATAGTAAAGTGGAGACCACTATTTATTTTATAACAACATCCACACACAAAGTTAATATTAGATATGTTAACAGAAGGTCATCAATAACCCATTTTCACATTCAAGGGAATCAGAATCAAAAATTAAAATTTTATGATAATTAAAATGAATAAATTACATTATTATTATTATTATTATGTTGGGTTTAGTGGGTTATACTCGGTTCACACTGGTGGCTGTGTACTATGCCGGACCAGAGTCAAAGCATAGCAACCAAAAACTAAAATTAAATAAGTGTGTCAGTGTCTGTATTCAAGAATTTCCTAACAATGTGGCATGTATTCAATATAGTGGCCTTCTGTAGTGTGATGTATGTATTTCTATTCAATTGTAATGTTTCCAGGCTTTTGTGTAATGTGTGTGGTATCAAACCTGTACAGGAGAGAACGACAGGTACAATAAGCACCCTATCCATCCTCCACAGATGCCTTATTTCCTGGGCAAGTTCTATGTACTTGCTAATTTTTTCAGTGAATGTGTTTTGTACATTGTGAGTGTTTGGAATGGCTATGTCTATAATATATATGATTTTATTGTGTTTATCAATAAGTGTGATGTCTGGTCTGTTGTGGTAAATTGTTTTATCTGTGATTATGGCTCTGTCGTAGTACATTTTGAGCGTGTTGTTTCCTAATACTGTCTGTGGAATGTATTTGTAGTATGGTTCGTGGATGTTTAATAATTTGATGTTTCTTTGCAAGCTCTTGATGTATTTGCTACTTCATTACGTCTATGTAAATTATCTGTCTGTGCCAAGAGCTTTCTACCAGAAGTAATGTGTTGTATTGTTTCTGGAATGATGTGACATTTTCTGCATGTGTCATTTGTGAGTGTTGTATCTTTGAGAATGTGCTTTCTGTAGTTTTTAGTATTTATGACCTGATCCTGTATGGCAGTGGTATTCAATTTATGGGTCGCAACCCCAAATAGGGCCACACTGTTAAAATGTTTGAATACCATTGCTGTATGGCAATCATGAATCCTTCTGTCTCCCCAAATAGGCATCCCCGATCTAACCAGCTGTTTGATGCAGTTTTGTCAACAAAATCCTGAGCCAGGTCATAAGGGAGTGCCTTTTGAGCCCATGATTGCTTGATGGTGTCTATGCTTTTTATATGTTGTGTTGTGTCTGTATGATGTGAGTGTAGGTTTAATGGTGTGTTATTTGAGTCTGCTAGAGTTACTGCTTTATGTAACTGTGATGTTTCTTGTTTCTTGTAGAAAAACTCTCGCAGTGACTGTATTTGTTTGTAGTGAAGGTTAACTATGTCAATCAGGCCACGTCCGCCTTCTTTACGTGGAAGGGTTAATCTTTCTGTGGCGGATTTAGGATGATGTTGTTTATGCTTAGTAAGTGTTGTTCTTGTTTTCCTTTGGAGTTGCTCGAGATCTGTGTGAGTCCAATGTATAACTCCAAAAGAGTATGTGAGTACTGGGATGACATATGTGTTTATTGCTTTAACTGTGTGTTTTGCATTTAACTGTGTTCTAAGTATAGCGTTTAACCTACTTTGGTATTCTTTAATTAATCGTTGCTTTATTTGTGTATGTTCTGTTAGTTTGGCCTGTTGGAATCCTAAGTACTTGTAGAACTCGCCCTCTTCCATGGATTCAATAACGTCTCCATTTCCAAGTGCAAAATCTTCTTTCTTCAGGATTCCTTTTTCTATGTGAAGTTTTTTGCATTTGTCTAGGCCAAACTCCATTTGTATGTCCTTAGTGTATGAATGTGTGATTTGTAGGAGTTGATGAAGTTGTTTTTGTGTGGATGCATAAAGTTTTATGTCGTCCATGTACATGAGATGTGAGAGTGTAAACTGTGTTGTTTTTTCGTGTCTGATATTGTAGCCGTATTGCGTGTTGTTTAACATGTTGGATAATGGATTCAGGGCTAGGCAGAACCAGAGAGGACTCAAGGAATCTCCTTGAAAAATTCCTCGCCTAATGAATATTTCGTTTGTTTGTATGGAAGTGTTACTAACCCTGAGATGTAGTGTTGTTCTCCAGTGCTGCATAGTGTTTTCGAAGAATGCAATGAGTGATGGATGTATTTTGTACATGTGTAGAATATGTAGCAGCCAACTGTGTGGAACACTGTCGAATGCTTTTCTGTAGTCTATATATGCCATGTGTATGTTTCTGTGTTGTTTGTGTGCTTGCCGTAGAATGACTGAATCTATGAGTAACTGTTCTTTGCATCCCCTGTGATTTCTACGGCAACCTTTTTGTTGTTCTGTAAGAATGTCGTGTTCTTCAACATGTTTGTATATTTTGTTTGTGATACAGGATGTCAATAATTTGTAGAGTGTTGGAAGACATGTAATTGGTCTGTATTGTGTGGGGTCTGTGGTTTTGTTGTTTTTAGGTTTCATGTAGGTGATGCCCTGAGTAAGAAATTTTGGCATGTCTTGTGGATTGATGATGATGTGTGTTAGATGTTTAGCTAGTTCCTGGTGCAGTGATGTAAACTTTTTGTACCAGAAATTGTGAATGTTGTCTACACCAGGTGTCTTCCAGTTGTGTGTTCTGTTAACAGCGTAGCGAATGTCGTGTATGTTTATTTCAGCACAGGGCATACTTGGTATGTTATGCAAGTTTCTGTTCTCCTCCTTGATCCAGCCTGCATCAGCATTGTGTGTAACAGCATTGGACCAAAGAGAAGACCAATAAGTTGTGAGTTCTTCTTCTGTTGGTGTGCCACTGTGCTGTGTATCAGTGTTTGTTTTGGTACTGATTTGTCTGTAGAAAAGTTTTTCATTGTTTGTGAATAATTTATTTTGTTGTTTTCGTAGTGTACATGTTTTGTATCGTTTGAGTCTACGTGCTTTGGCTGCGAGTTTTTGTTTTAGTGTATCGATGTATTCTGTAATGTGTGTGTTGTGATGTTCATGTTTTGTGTGTGTTTTGATTTTCTTGAAAATGTTTTTGAGTTGTTTCTTTAATTTGGGTGTTATGTTGTTTTTAGTGTATTGTGTCAGCCTGCCTAATTGCTGTCTAATGTCATTTATTTGTGTTTCTATTCTTCTCTGCCAGGCAGGCTTGTGATAGAATTATGTTTTGTGTGTATCTGGCTGCGATTGTATTTTCAGACCATGGTGTGTTACTACTGTGACTGCCCCAGAATAAACTAATGTATGAATGTCTGAGAGTGTAGAAATTGAATGAATGTAGTTTGGTGGTAGTAAGTGAGTGTTTACATAATTTAATGTTTTTCCTACTTCATTTGATGTGTTGATTTTTGGTATTTGTGGTCTTTGTGTGGGATCTGTACCTGTATGTTTAGTGAGTATTTCTTGAAATATAAATGCGAGCATATTAACTAAATTTATGTCTATGTTATCAGTTATTATTATTGGGCTGCAATTTTCAAATTTCAGACCTTTGTATTCCCACTGTTGTCCATCATTAATCTTGAGGATGAAGTAAGATGACCGGCATGATTTGACTGTTATTGGGAGAAGTACAATGTACAGGGGCAAGACACCATTAAAAATCCAGACCAGATATAGAAAGCTTAGGAGCCAGAGATCCCAATTAACTGTATATGAACTTCTGGTCTGGATCTTTTTTAAATTAAAAGACAATTAAAAATTGCTGCCCAGCATTGTGACAATGTCACAATAAATAATTACTTATTATATTTACATTATGAACAGAAATCAATACAAAACTTTGATAATTTGATGATAATATATCAGAATAAGTTTGAATGTACTTACTGTTTCAACTAGATTTAAAGCAAGTGTTTTAGCAGCTTGTAATCCTTCTGTTTTAGGATGCCTAAATTAAAAAAAATATTTGAGTTAAAACAGAAGATAGTTATAAAATAACAACAGAAACATTTATTATAAATTTAAATAACAGTAATAAATATAGCTATTTTTTCTTCATACATTCAATATAATACATGTAAAATATGAAAAATCATGATTAAAATGTAGATAAATTGACAGTAATTACTTTTGAAACAAAGCAAAAATTTGATAAAATACTGAAATTATCTCTGAAAAATTAAAATGTTTATTAATATACATAGATATTTTAAAATATTTATTTCATTAAAATGTTTTTTTAAAAATTCCTATTTCTATTTTCAGCATAACTTAATCCGTTACGCGTTGAAAGAGTGGAGGGTTTATTTTAAATGATTTGATTGGAGGGATTTTTAATAAAAGGTCACCCCTAAAAGCTAGCTAGCTTAGATCTATTTAGTTCAACTTAAGTCAGTTTAGCATGGCTCACAGCTCTTCATTGAGCTTTGTCCTTGACCTTTCACGAGGCAAGTGTAGACTTCATGTATTCCAGTCGTATAATTTCGTGTACTCTCCTCAGTCATCAGTACATCTTTCACTTTTAAAGATCAAATATCATTGTAGGTGATATATTTTTGTAAACCCTTTCTCAGAAAGGAAGAGAATTAGTTAATGGGTTGTTTGTTCAAGCTCTCTTTTAAAGAAGAATTTGTTATAATTAGACGTGTGTTATCGTTCTCTTATATCATTTCGATTTTATCTTTTATTGTTTATTTTACTAAATAAATGTATTTTAATCATTTGAAATGTTCAATTTTCCTATGCCTAACTCCATTGTCTTACCCACAATTGAAATAATCACTCCTATAAATTCCGGAAGTTAGATAAAAATTTTCATTTGCATCTTAGTCTGTGAAATTGACTAAGTGATGTCAGGAGATCTTGACAATTTTCCATGAGAAATTTTGAATATTAGTGTATTCTCAATTTCCGACAACTAAGCAGCTATCACAAATGTGTGACGGGTCAACCGGAGCCCCGGAAATTCATAAATTTGATCAATTTTAATTGTGATTTTGAAATTATACAATCAAATTCTTACACAAATAATTATTATTTCTTACGTTAAATGAATGTGAAGAGGTTCGAACGCCTCCCTTCCTGACGTCGGTTCGATATATCCTGACCCTTTTCCACGCAATGTTACATTGGCTCCACTTTCAGTCCTAATATGTTGAAGATAAATTCCCTATTTTAGATAAAAAATATTAGTACTTTTAATTTTAAAATACGTCCCTCGCATTTCAGGTTTATTTTTAAGATACAATCAGAATTCACGTATATCCTGACAGTTAATTGATTGTCAGAGTCTACTTTTCCGATGATTCAAATACATTAAAATCAAAACATTGACCTAGCAATTAATATCAATACTTGGATGAAGTCTTTTCCTTGTATAAATAAGTAAATTCATATCAGTTTTAAAATTAAAATTAATATGAATTTATTTAATTTGATATTTTAATATATCGTTTCATTACATTACATAAACATAAGAAAAAATAAAAATTTGTAATTCATAATATGACTAATTTTACAAATCATTTCCTTCTCTTTTATGTTATACAGGTTCTAAAAGTCCGATCTCGTTTAATTGGTGTGTAAAAACCAATATCTTGGAATTTTATGCAGATTAATCCATCACTTTAAACATAACAATGCCCTAGGACAAGGAAAAAAACTTGGCTGGAGCAGTAAAAACACTATTTTGCGGTAGTAAGCTAGTGTCTTATTGCTTCAGACAAGATATATAGGTTTAAATCCGAGTCGAAACTTCAAAAATTTTCATGGGTGAATGAATTCAGATATAATGGACCTTATCCTGAAACCTGGCCAAACCCACGATCAGCATAAACAAAACTTAATGCCCACAGATTAGAGAATTATTAAAAAAACACTCTCACGTTGCACTAATGCTTAATCGAACATTGATATAAACAATGTTCAATAATTTTATCTAATTAAAATTCATTAAGAAAATTTACGGTTATTATATTTTGTTAATATACAGTTATTATGCTGAATGTATTTTTATCATCATCAAGATAAATAATGACAATATACAGGGTTCCTATTCCAACTTTTGTTTTAATTTCCCTGACTTCCCGAACCAACTTTGTACAAATTCCGACCCTCACGTCCCTTATGTATGGCACATTGACAAAGTAAAACAGCATTTGACTCACTAACCGCATATGTTTTGTTTCTCTAATATTTTAATTAGTTTTTTTTTCTAATTAACAGTTATATATTTTTTTATAATTGCTGAATTATTAAAATTAAAATTAAAAATAAAACATATTATTAAAATTCTGTTATTAATTCGCAACCATAAATCTACATGGCTTTAAAAAAAAAGAAATAAATCAATTATTTTTTATTATTCATTAACAAATTCTATATAATCCATGTACAAAAGTGTATATTTATTAAATTTATCTCTTGATAAGTTTCCCAAACTTTATAATATATTAATAAACTGGAAAAAAAATTGGAAATTGTTTTGTTATGCAATCAAAATTATTAAAATGAAAAATGATAAATAATACCATTTAAACTATTTATCATTTCATGTACTTTGTAAAAGTTTTGTGTAAGCTTGGGAGAAATTTTGGGTCCTGAAAATATTCTGCACCCCTTTTCATAAGTTATATTGCACCACATTACTTCTTGCTGCCTGCAGATGACTACGTCTACACTTAGTCAAGCATACTTGTCAGCAAAAAATCAACTAGGCAGTCAGAAAAGCAAATTCCCAGACTTTTTGCCGATTTTTAACAAATTCCTTGAAATTCCATGACTTTTTATGGACATTAATGAAAATCCCTGACTTTCCAGGTGTGTAAGAACCCTGAATTTAAAAAGAATTTAAGTATTGGGATGAATTAAAAGTGAATGATATAAAACTGAATTATCAAATTATGTATAGACAAAATCATACATCATTATGCATTGGCTTTTCATTCTAATTACTTAAACATATTTAAATAGAATTTAAAAAATTTACAATTATTTACGGAAAATCTAGATAAAAAGTATTTTAGATGTACGCTAAAATGTTCTTTAAACATTAACAAAAAACAGATCTAATACATAAGCAGTGCAAATCTTTTTCTTACTTTAAATATGCAAATCTGGCAGTCAAAATTTGATAATGTAAGAAAATTCCTTGAAAAAAATTAATGATTAATACAATAGTCTTGTAAATATGTAATTTTAATGTTTTAAGTTTACATCATTTTTCTTTTATATCATCATATAGATGACAAACATATTTGTTTTCAGATATTCAGCAGGGATATTCAATGCTTTTGCATTGAAGTCTAAAGTGACTTTTAAAATCCAGATTACTGTATTCAGGAATACTCGTAACTTCCTTGTAATAGTTTTATATTCTATCCTTTTTCTGCAGCCGTACCACAACAGAATTTACCATTCAAGCAATTGCTTCGTTGACTTGTTTACGCTTCCCAAACGAGACATTGCATCGCAAAAATGAATTACTTTTAACATGTTTTGAATTAAACAATTCACAGAACAGCCCAATAGTTAAAACGAGATCTGCCATTTTGGAACTGCGGCACTGCGCGTTGTTAAAGAGTTTCATCAGCGATTGCAGTGCTTAATTTAACAGCAATCTAAAAGTTTACCATCTGCCTGGAAGTATATGGTTAAAAGGAAGTTTTTTGGAAGCTCCTAATTTGCCTCTTACTAATACTTTATTATTGTATTTCATTGCATACTTTTATTTTTATGTTTCTGTTATATTTAACTTATGTTAATTATTATATCCGTGTATTATATTTTTTGTAGTTTTTCTGATATTTTTCCTGTTAATTTTTTTCATTTAAAATTGTTAATGCTCTATTTTGGAACACTTTACAACTGATGTTTACATAACTAAGTTATGTAAACCTGAAGATGGCTTATAGATTAGGTTGAAAACATTAGTTTGTTTCAAAATAAATAGTCTCAGCAAATTAAGGTGCTTTGTAAGGATTGTTTATTAATTAAGTCTCTGCTGAGTGTAGTGTTGTGGTTACTGTCAACATATGTTTTTAATATTTTATCATGCTGTCTTTTTTTTATTACATCACATACAGTACAGTCAACATGCCCTATTCCATATTCACTGCATAGTTTTTTTACTGATACCCTTCATACATTTTCTTCAGCAATTCCACTTATCTTTTGTACTAACTAAAAATGTTTCCTCTTTTTTTGAAGCCATTAAAAAAAAATGCAACACATGAAACTGCAATTTGAAACAAAAAATCCAACATTCAATCTCAGAACTCAAAAGTTTAAATGACTAATGAGTACAAAGTTTTCAATAATTATGTATACCAGAGAATATGTGATTTATACGTGCTCACGTATTGGTTTTCGAGGCTGTTACAGCCAGGTGGAAAGGTCGAGTGATCTAGATTATACATAGTTATACTCTAGATATACCATTTGTTAGCTTAAATAATTTCAGCACTACCTAGATTATTTCTGATGAATTTTCGAAAACAAGTTGCTAATTTTAGGAAACTGTACTGTAAATTTATGGTCCCGTATTGCAAAATTGAAATTCAGAACAAAAATAATCCAAAACTAAAAGGATTGTCCTAAACAAAAGTAAATTTTCAAGACGATCTGAATCCTCTGGAAAATGTACGTCCATTTGACAAGTAAGATACAAGACAGTTCTACAGCTACAGAATTCTTTCTGATTCCTAACAAATTATATTATATCGCTCTTTGAATACAAGGGTGAACTAATACAGATTACTAATACATATACAAAGTGCACTACAAAGTAGTAAATGCAAAAGTTATTCAATTTATCTAGATAACTCAATTTTTTTTTCTTTACATAAAAAAGCTAACGTATAAAACTGTACAAATTTACAAATTTCCGTTATAATATAATTTAACACCCAATTCATTGACACTTACCCCTGGTCCCAAAACTTTCTCTCGTACCGGATAATTGGATGGGGCATTCTCTAATCCGATAAACACTTTATCTTGCACGAAGAGAGGCTGTTTGATTAAAATAAAAATACAGCAGCATTAAAATTTAAATAATAATTAAAAATCTTTATCTTAAAAGTTGGAACATTTTGTAAAATATCAAAATAATAATAATAAATTGNACCTGTACAGGAGAGAACGACAGGTACAATAAGCACCCTATCCATCCTCCACAGATGCCTTATTTCCTGGGCAAGTTCTATGTACTTGCTAATTTTTTCAGTGAATGTGTTTTGTACATTGTGAGTGTTTGGAATGGCTATGTCTATAATATATATGATTTTATTGTGTTTATCAATAAGTGTGATGTCTGGTCTGTTGTGGTAAATTGTTTTATCTGTGATTATGGCTCTGTCGTAGTACATTTTGAGCGTGTTGTTTCCTAATACTGTCTGTGGAATGTATTTGTAGTATGGTTCGTGGATGTTTAATAATTTGATGTTTCTTTGCAAGCTCTTGATGTATTTGCTACTTCATTACGTCTATGTAAATTATCTGTCTGTGCCAAGAGCTTTCTACCAGAAGTAATGTGTTGTATTGTTTCTGGAATGATGTGACATTTTCTGCATGTGTCATTTGTGAGTGTTGTATCTTTGAGAATGTGCTTTCTGTAGTTTTTAGTATTTATGACCTGATCCTGTATGGCAGTGGTATTCAATTTATGGGTCGCAACCCCAAATGGGGTCACACTGTTAAAATGTTTGAATACCATTGCTGTATGGCAATCATGAATCCTTCTGTCTCCCCAAATAGGCATCCCCGATCTAACCAGCTGTTTGATGCAGTTTTGTCAACAAAATCCTGAGCCAGGTCATAAGGGAGTGCCTTTTGAGCCCATGATTGCTTGATGGTGTCTATGCTTTTTATATGTTGTGTTGTGTCTGTATGATGTGAGTGTAGGTTTAATGGTGTGTTATTTGAGTCTGCTAGAGTTACTGCTTTATGTAACTGTGATGTTTCTTGTTTTTTGTAGAAAAACTCTCGCAGTGACTGTATTTGTTTGTAGTGAAGGTTTACTATGTCAATCAGGCCACATCCGCCATCTTTATATGGAAGGGTTACTATTTCTATGGCAGATTTAGGACAATGTTATTTATGCTTAGTAAGTGCTGTTCTTGTTTTCCTTTGGAGTTGCTCGAGATCTGTGTGAGTCCAATGTATAACTCCAAAAGAATATGTGAGTACTGGGACGACATATGTGTTTATTGCTTTAACTGTGTTCTGAGGATAGCATTTAACCTACTTTAGTATTCTTTAATTAATCTTTGCTTTATTTGTGTATGTTCTGTTAGTTTGGCCTGCTGGAATCCTAAATACTTGTAGAACTTGCCCTCTTCCATATATTCAACAACGTCTCCATTTCCAAGTGCAAAATCTTCTTTCTTCAGGATTCCTTTTTCTACGTGAAGTGTTTTGATTTGTCTAAGCCAAAACTCCATTTGTATGTCCTTGGTGTATGAATGTATGATTTATAGGAGTTGACAAAGTTGTTTTTGTGTGGATGCATAAAGTTTTATGTCGTCCATGTACATGAGATGTGA